AGAAGACAAGAAGATCAGAGCAAGGTTAAAACTGTGTTTGATAAAGCAGCAGTGGCTACTCAAAAATCAAGAATCGAGAAAGATGTGGTCATTTTGTAGTTTGAACAACATCCTTTGTTTTGTCTGTAGTTAAACATGATACCAGCTGGGCACCAATGGCTCACATCTGTAATCCTAGCTACTCAGGAGACAGAGATCAGGAGGATTGTGGTTGAAAGCCAACCTGGGCAAATAATTTGCAAGATCCTATCTCAAAAAACCCCACTACCAAAAAAGGGCTGGTGGAGTGGCTCAAGGTGTAGGCCTGAGTTCAAGCCCCAGTATAGCAAAAAAAAATATTCCAATGTAGCCTTGCCTTCATCTTGATCCATCACCTCACAGTGGCTTTGTCTGACTTTGTACTTTGTGAGCTGTGAAATGTTTATATCCAACAGAACACCAAGGCCTACTGGGAGTGCTAAGCCAACACTTGGCTGTTACATACTGTTTTGTTATTTCTCAGGTATGTACCTTTTTGTGCCTTCACAGTTCAACACCATTTACTTGTCTGACCTATTCAGAATAATTTTGCAAGAAATCTCAGGACTGAATTCTGAGACTATTCTGACCTCCTGTTTTTCTCTTCCACACTAAGCCTTTCCCCTCAATTCAGGTGCCTAGACAGCAAGCCCTGGGCTATCTCCAGTTTGTCCACTGCACGAATTTATCAGGCAGTCCACTCCCTAGTTAAAGAGATCTTCATACTTTATGTTCAGAGGAAAAGAAAACAATGTACTTGGTTATAATATCTTCATAATTTTCTTCCCAGAATTTTAACCTCTTCAAACATTTCTTCTATGGAAACTTGTAGAGCAGAATAATTAGTTTTTTTATTTTTATGTAAAATATTCCTATTAATACCCTCTAAATGGTAATTGTCTTTTTGTACCAGTGTTCCAACACAGTTCTGCATTTTTTATCATTACATTTGTACAGATTCTTATCTGTTACTGCCGACAAACCCATTTGCATTTGTATTCAATTACATATAATTAGTCTTTTCTCCATGAACAAAAGAGCAGGTGTCTTTATCAATTCTGTGCAAGATCCATGGTAAAGTTCGTTGGACCTAATGATGCCTAGTGAACCAAACAACACATTTCTGACAGATGCTCATAGTAACAAGATTTTTTATAAAACAATCAACTTCTTTTACTCTCCACCCACACGAAGTAGAGAAAGAAAAGGCATTTTAACAACTTTGAGACTTATAATTTTTCTATTAAAACATGAGCAGAATTTAAATCTCTTCAATATATTTTAGCCCTAATTTTCACCCAGAAAAAGTATGCACAGAAATTGTCTCATTTGAAATTTTTTTTTAATATGTAGGGGGAAGGTCAAAAGAAAGTTCATTAGTTGAAAAAGGTGAAATCTGAACAAAGGGTGTAACTCAGTATATAGTACTGCAACAGTGTTCATTTTCTGGTGTTGATAGTTGCACTGCTGTTACATACACAGCACCATGAGCGGAGGCTGAGTGAAGAACATAAAGGAGCTTGCTACACTAATTTGTAACTTTTCTGAAATCTAAAATGACTTCAAAAGTAAGAACTTAAAAAATATGTGGGTGTGTAGAAGTTTTAGTCAATGAACTAGAAAAACTTTTGTACATTCACAAGGAGACATTCATTCATTCATCTATTCAATTTGTATTGAGTGTTTATCAATATGGCAGACCATTCTAAGTATAAATGAAAGATCAAAACAATGTAATCTCTTCACTTGTAGAATTTATATTCTCCTGGGGAAGAAAGTCCAAACTAAATGAATAAATGCCAAAAATATATGTGTCAAGCGGTCATAAGAGTTATGACTAAAAGTAACGCGGGTGCTATAGTTTGGATCTAGAATGTCCTCCAAAGGCCCATGTGTTAAAAGATTGGCCCAAAACTATGATGCTATAGGGGGTTGGGTTGGCTGAAACCTCTAAGATAGACCTAGTAGGACATTTCTTTCTTTGAAAGTATGGGGGACATACTTTCAAGGTGATTGAGGACCCTTCACCTTCCTCCCTTTTTCAAATCCCAGCCATGAGGTGAACAGCCCTCCTCTACCAAGCACTTCTCCATGATGTACTGTGCCACCATGGGCCCAAAGAAACAGGGCTAATCAGTCATCGTCTGAAACTTCCAAAGCTGTGAGCCAAAATAAACCTTCCCCCTTTAAGTTAATTTATCACAAGTACTTGGCTTTCCATTGAAAGCCAAGTAACGCAGTAGGGTATCAAAATAAAGAGTCCAAGGGTGAGATATGTGTCCTTTTTTAAAGGAAAACTTCTTCAACATCTTATGAGAAAGATGGCAGCAGCATTGTCTGTAATTGCCTTAAAATAAAAATGGCAATTACTCCTGCCCCCCTAAAAAAGAATAAATGTTTGGTTCTATTTCAACAATGTAATTTTTTTGATGAATTAAATGAAGCAAGTATATTATCTGTGTAAACCTCACAGCTACAACAGTAAAGATGAAAGTATATAAAAGATATACATGATAATGTTCTCACTTATAAAAAGCTTAAAATATGCAAAACAATATGAGTGGTTTAAGTATACATTTATACAAAGAAATATATTTTAAAAGTCTATGAATATGAGAAAAGCCAAATTCAGGAAAGTTACGTCTAGTAATGAAGAAACGCACGACTCCATTAGAGAGAACACAGGGCAATTTAAACGTACTGAAATTTTTAATTAACTTTTAAGTGGGTAGTAAGTATCCAGATAAATTTATATTATATTTATACATTGTACATCAATTTTAATAACAATTCATCAAAAAGTATGTATCATAGTTCATCTTAATAAAAAATGTTTTGAATTTATGAGTTCAGATAAATTCTAAAGGCATTTGATAAAATGCATAATCTGCTACCCTCAGTGTGTGTGGTAGGTATGTATCAACAAGTATGCTGACATATTTTAATTACATATGTAAAAAAATATGTATTTGTAGGTGTGGCTGTACACTAGTGCTGAACCCAGCATCAGCAGAGCAGCTACTTTCAATGACTTTTCTAAAAGCAGTCCATGTGCTCCTACGCCTTTCCCATTGTGTCACATACTTGCCAGGTAGCTGGCTGGGTTCAGGTAGCATCAAGTGAAAGGAAGTGAGTATGGTTATTTGCCATAGTTGTGGACTGAATCAATCTTCATCAACTTGTAATTTGTCCCTTTTTAAAATGAGCAGTGTTAACAGAAGATGCTAATAACATTATTGTCTCTGGCCACCTCATTTGGTAAAAATGAAACTGAGATCTCAGGATTAATATGGATGATACAGATAAGCAGTTCCCCGATATGTCCTTTTCTAATGATAGCTTCCCTAAATCAACATTCAAATGACAGTGCTACACAGAGAAAAGGCCATCCTCCTTCTTCAATCCTGAATGGAAAACTTGAATCATTTAAAGAATGCATTCACAAAAATACAAACCCACATACAAAGCACAAGAAGCTAAGTAACAACTTTGCCAAACTCAGGAGCAAGAACCCCGTGATGAAATACTTTATAATAAGATATTTTCTTCCTCACAATTCACATTTTGTAATGTACAATGTTAAGCAAACAAAGAAAATTTAGGAGGGGGAAAATAACAGCATCGTGCCATTTTAAGGATTTTGAATCTTTTCTCAAATCTTAATTTAAAAAATATATCACTATAAAATAACAGACTTGCTAGATTGCCTTATGCAATTTAGTAAGTTGTAGGTTGTTAGTCCAACTCCCAATCAATTAGAATCCCAACCCAATTAGAAAGTTATTTAATCAACATTTCCTGGATGTCCAACACTAAAGATCTAGCAGTGAATATAGACAAATTTTAGAAAATAATATGGCACTCTGAGTAATTTTAGAATACTATGAATTTACCCTTAGTTATTTATATGATTATGAAGAAGCTCAAAGATATGAAAGTTACCATTATTGCCTATGAAGCTTGTATTTGAAATTTTCCCAAAGTGCAAATACATTGTCATAGATTGATGATTGAATTTAGTTATTAAACTTGTCAACTCTAAAGTTTAAGTACTTAAAAACTATTTCTGAGGATATTATTATTAATCTTTTAATATTTGGCAATTTTATTTCAAAAATTGCATGTCAGGGAGCTGGACACAGTGGCTCAAATCTGTAATCCTAGTTACATAGGAGGCAAGAATCAGAACAATTAGAGTTTGAGGCCAGCCAAGGCTAAAAAGTGTTCACAAGATCCCATCTTATTCAATAAAAACTGACTGTGGTGGGACACATCTGTCATCCTAGCTACTCAGGAAACATAAATAGGAGTTCATGGTCCAGCCTGGCACAAGTATAAATGCAAGATCCTATCAAAAAAAAAAACCCAAAACACCTAAGTCCAAGAGCACCTATTTAGCAAGAGCCAGGCCCTGAGTTCAAACTCCAGCACCAGCAAAAGAAATTCTGTCAGATCTAACAATCTTTATTATCATATTTGTTATTATATATACTGTAAAACATCATAATAACATGTAAATATATTTTCTTTAATTTTATCCTTAACCAAAATGAAATAAAACACATGTATGTATGGATTCAATGTTTACTTTAAAATTAATTTTTTGTGTGCCATAAATTATGTTCTGAGAATTATAACTTGTTCATTAAATTTGAATCCAGGATTTAAACAGCATCTTGTGCTGGAAGGTCTCTATTATTCCCAGGAGTACATATTGCCCTGGTGAAAAACACTGTAATGGGAAGAAATTCTTATCTATTGACCAGCTGGAACTCTTTCAAGGCTCGTACCTTCTCATTTAGTACCTAACCTCTCTCCCAAACTGTCTCTTTGCTTTAGGGAATCCATGGCAAGAATGAAAACACACTAGCTCAATAACAGTTAAATACTTCAAATGGTAGCCTGGCTGGGCTTTGGATATAGGATATACTGAGCCACACATTTTATTTGTAATTGGATTGCAAGAAGCTCATGTTCCTTACTGTAGTCGCTGTTTTCGTCCTTGGTCCCGTCAATGGTACCATCTGGATGCATCTGCAGGAAATATCCCTGCTGGCTGAATAACCTTGTCACAATTCCTTTCAGCTGGGGTTCTACAAAACAAAATGAAATAATCATTCAAATTTTTATTCTGTTCATAAAAATGCACACTTGCAAGTTGTTGAGCACATTCTGTAAGAAAACACATAAATGCCAATGGCATAAATATTGAAATTAATATATGAAAGGCAGGCATTTCAGTATCATATCTATAGTTTTTTCCTTCTAGAGGGAGGACCATAGTACTTTGAAGCGGTAAATCAAACTTAAATAAATAAAAACTAATTATGATTAGGAAAATAAGGAGGCATGCTGAAAACTAAGAAAGGGGATGATTTTTTTTCCCCTCCCTCATGCATCTGGTGTCTGGAAGTAAGATGCCACCAAGTTTATGGTCTCATTCCAGAATCACTGTTTAGGCCAAATGCCACTGTAATTCCTCCTGTGCTTCCAGCAGTGATAATCAGGCCTTGGATGACTCTTATTTCTGCTGGATGTCAACTATCCATCAGAAACTCCTGGGTTTTCAAATCCCAATCAAGTTCAGCCAAGAAGAATAACTTGCAAGAGAATCATAGGCCAAAGCAAAACCCTTGTGGCTATGAGATGTCACCAGACAGTATGAGAAAACACAGATTTCACCTTTGCTAAATACTTCACCAGGGAGGAGTCCCAGTACTGCAAGTCATTACTTCATAAAAAGAGAAAATGAAACAGAAAAATCAACTCATACATAAGCATTTTAAACTAGAAATGGTCCTTACTTTTAAGAGTTCTCTGCACACGAAGAGCATCAATTTGGCTTTTGTACACCATATTTAGATTTTTGTACATCAGCTAACATAAATATTTAAAGCTTTCTCATTGGGGTGCTGGCTGCCAACAACAATCTAGTTTCCACAGCATCACCATCTTTCTGTCTCTAGTGTGGGGTGAAAATTATTCCAGTGCATTTATAGTCCTAATTATTTCAGAAAAATGAGAAGAAAAATGCCACTTCTGTGATAATAAGTGAAGCAAAGATGGAAGCCATAAGATTGCTGAAGTAGTAATATGATATCCTCAGAAAGACAACCACTGAATTTATGCTTATGACTTCATCCTTTGCCTATTTATTCAATCAATATTTACCAACAGTTTCTTATTTTTCTGTCAGGCAATATGCTAAGGCACTGTGTATTAAACTAAGCACATTTGTTGATGTTTAGGTATAAAAGAAATTCTAGTTAAGGATTGGGAGTGTTTAACTCTGTAGAAATGGTCCTGCCCACCATAACTTACATCTATGGTTGGGTTTTCATACATATGTCCTAATCACACATATTTTGGGGGATATGGAACAGTGTAACATCATCTCCTTCAAAACACTCCTAAGAACCAAAATAGATGTCAAGAAAATTGTGAATGAGAAAAGAGAACATTGAAAACAAAATTGAACTGGAATTAGCCATTCTGGTTAACAGTATCTTGAATTAAATTCAATTTATTTAATTTGTGGGCTTTGATTTCCTTGTCAATTAAATCTGAAATTTAAATTGAATGGCCCTTAGGTCTCTTCTATGATTCACTTTTATCACATTGGAATCCTCTGCCCTGAGTGGTGACAGGATTTGAGTAACAGATTTGTCTTCAATTTGTTTCTTCGATGAGTCCACATCCTAGGGCTGTGTTACACAAACAGATATTCTTATCCTCCCTGCACACAATTCTGTATCTCTCTGCCATGAGGTGACCTGGCTGACAGTCAGCTTCTGATATGGCACACTCAGCTCTAGATTTGGATTCAGAAGATCCAGCTTATAACCACAGTTCCTTTGGGGTACTAAGCAAGTAATTTAACATCTGAATCTTTTTTGTATCTGCACAATGAAAAAAAATAACCCCTGCCCTAATTGTAATCATTAAGAACTTCAAGTGACTAGAAGACCCCATAAAACTAAATTCTAGCAGGACTAATATTTACAATCCTAGCTACTTGAGAGGTTGAGATAGGAAGATCATAGTTAGGGAAAAGAAGTTCCCTAGCTGGTCTTGAGACCCCACCTCAACCAACAGCTTGATGCAGTGACATATACCTGTCATTCCAAGCTCAGATCAGGAGGGTCACTATTCCAGGCCAGCTGGGCAAAAAAGTTCATGAGATACCATCTCAACAGAAAAAAGTGAAAAAAAAAAAAAAGCTGGGTGTGGTGGCACATGTCTGTTATCCCATGATGACAGGAAGACTAAAGTAGGAAAATCATGGACCTGAGCAAAGAGTGAGATCCTGTCTTCAAAATAACAAGAGAGAAAAGGGTTGGAGGCAGTATAGCATCTGCCTAGCAAACACAAAGCCCTGAATTCAAACCCCAATACCACCAAAAAAAAAAAAAAAAGATAAGCATCTAAATCCTAATTAAGGTTTAATGTCTCAAACCATGAAAACCAAGGAAACAGCACGAGGTAATGAGAGCACTCAGAGAAGACTATGTCTCCTGATTTCTGTTTTAGTAAAATATTGATTGAGCTTATAAAGGTACTGAAGTAAACAGTAGACTAAGAGTAGAGGATACAAAATCATAGGAAGAAAGAAAATGACAGCTACCTCCCAATTCATTTTTATTTCTAATAAGGTTAAGGTCAGTTTAAGAAGCCCCATTGTAGTTGGAAATGAGATTCATGGCAGCTTACTCATTAGGGCCTGCAAATGATTGTTTGTTTTCTTCATGCTCCTCTTTCTACGCCTGTAATTAAACACTTCTTTTGCCATGGTGAAACTATCTCCCTGTTGGGACTCTGGGAATTCGAGCTGGTAACCCTATTCAGCATAATGAGCTTTTATACCAACCCCTCCGCAGAGAGCAGAGCTAGAGCAATCTCCAAATCTGGGTCTTAATTACATGATGATCTAGGTAACCAAACTTCTGCCAGTGTAGAAGTTTCATGGTACCTCACCTTGTACTGAACAATTGCCAGCACCTAGGATGTGCCAGTGAACACTACACAGCCTGCCTGATGGGACAGCACCCCATTCACAACTATGAAGTCCCACCAGTCTTCCCAGGTTCAGCTCAAGATCAGCCCCCTTCCCATAATGACTAGCTAGAATAAATGAGGATCTCTTTTATAATGAGGGGGGAAACACATTTTAAAGAAAGACCAAGTCAGGTGGAATCAGGAGCTCACAAAGAAGGATCACTTGAACCCAGGAGTTCAAGACCAGCCTGGGCAACATAGGAATCCCCAATCTCAAATAAATGTAATTGAAAAAAGCTGGTGGCATGGCTCAAGTGGTAGATCTCCTGTCCAGTAAATGTGAAGCCTTGAGTTCAAACCCCAGTACTGAAAAAAAAAATGGGAGACTACTTTATAGCACATCTAGCATCATGGCTACATTCAACAAATACACATTTTATTTGGCAAACTTCTGCCTGGGAACTTAATAGATAAATAAAAAACAGGGAACATCCAGTCCAGCACATGAAAGGTATTCTATGCAACACTAAAGTGGGACAGCTGTTAAATGAGGGAGTGGAGCAGAGTGGTATGATTACCCCAAGGAGCAGGACTAATTCTATTTGGCGATTAGCCAAAGACACCTCACCTATCATGTGAGGACTGAGTAGGATTTTCATAATCCAAAAAAAAAAAAACAAGAGAGGCAGAAATCCAGACATAAAAAGACATGGTAAACTCTAGGAATTTTACCTAGTCTAGTCCAGATAGGATATAGGACAGAAGTTCTCAAATGCTGACATGTAAGTACCTGTTCTCACCAAATAGTTACAAATCAACAGTGAAATTAATAAAATAGAGTCAATGGAGTAAACTTTTAAGCTAGTTTTTCAATGTATCTGAATCTCTGATTCTAAGATTATGTTATTCCATTACTTTTTTCTGTGTTTTATGAAATGATGGCTGTATTATTAGATGGTGGGAATGGAGGGGTTGGTTTGTTATCTTTTATGTTCTGAACTCGTGTGGCAAATACTGCTCGCATTTCACTCAAATCTATTTCCTCTTTTTCCTGGGCACCCAGCTAGACCATATGTCCTAGCCTCCCTTGAAATTTGATTTGGCAGATGAAGGAGTGTCATATGGAATGTAAGTGGAAGTGATGTGTGCCATTTTCAGGCCAAGGCTTTTAAAAGCAAACATTCTCCTCCACATTCTCTTTTCCTTAATGCTGACTGGATTAAAATGGCAGAGCCCTAAAGAATATCAGAGCAACAAAACAGAAAAACCCTGGGTTCCTTAACAACAGGTAGAAGAAGAGCAATAGCCAACAGAAATATCTATCTTATCAGTGGAGTGAATAAGAAATAAACTTTAATTTCCTGCATACACTGGCTTCCTTTGAAAGACTACAGTATAGAAAAGAAGAGAGGGAGTAATTTTAGAGTGGGGAAAGCTTATAAGCAAACACTGCCAGGTTATCAATGCCAGGTTATCAATGTTAGCATCAGTAGCATAAATCATATTGATAGTATGAACCCTTGATATGATAGGATGAGATATCACTTTACCTCTGTGATCTTCTTCAAAAGATCCACAACCTCTGTGTAATTTTAAGAAAAGCACCAAATACCAATTGAAGGATATACAAAATACTTGATGAGTACTCCTCAGAACTGTCAAAGTCACTAAAGAGAAGAAAACAGAAAATGTCACAGACAAGAGGAATCTAAGAAAATGTAACAAATAAATGTAATGTGATATCCTAGAACTCAAGGAGAACACGAGATAAAAATGAAGGGAGCTGGGTGTGGTGTACACATCTATAATCATATCACTTAAGAGGTCAACACAGGAGGATTGTGGGTTTGAGGCCAGGCTGGGATACATAGAGAATCTAGTTTGGCCTGGGCTACATAATGAGGCTCTGTCTCAAAAAACAAGAAGGAAGGAAGGAAGAAGAGAAGAAAGGAAGGAATAAGGGAGAAAGGGAAGAAGGGAAGGAGGGAGGGAGGGCAGGATGAATAAAGTGTGGATTTTACTTAACCATAATGTACCAATATTGATTATGAATTGTGACAAATGTATCATAATAATGTAACATGTTAATAAAGGAAGC